TTCATGGCGTCACCTTCAGAACCAAATTTTCACTACACCCTCCGCTTATGTTCAGGATTTATTGTGCAAGAATAATGGAAGAAGTTAATAATCTCCGTAGACTTTGAAATGATCAGACGAGCAGTAAGGTACATGTTATGAAGATGTCAGATGTTCATTGACAGGAATGGTGGCTATGTGGAGGGCTTAGCACATTAAACTGATGAGGTAAGTAGCGAAAACAAAGCAAATAAGATTGATTTAGGTACATTCCTTGTTTTCAAGAATGCGTTCTTAAAGTCCTAAAGGCATTTGGTATTCTGCACACTTGCATGGTCTAGCCTCGTTAATCACATATGTAAACTTGTCACAGTGCCAATTTCAGTACCCTTAACATCGGTCTAGTTTACTACATGTAGTTTTTAGTAGAATGGGGACGTCAGACAAGAAGCCGAAACTTGTGCTAGGTCTCCCTTCCCCCGCGAAATGAATATAGTTTATACAGATCCTAATAAAGTGAAACGAATAATAATAAGAGCTGACAATTTTGGAGAAAATGCTCTCTATTCGATCACGTATAGAGTCTATGAGACGAATTAAGGTGCGTGGGAAAGACAAGCAACAATCCAAAAATTATGAAGGACTTGCAGTAAAAATATACAAGCGCTAGAAACAGTTCTTTAAGTATGGTATATGTTAAATGTTCAAAAAGGAACGTCTATAGTCTAGAGTACCGTGTTTCAGTCTTCACTTAACTGAAAATTCGAAATCTTCAGGTTTACAGAAGAAAACAGATTTCTTTCCAGTTCTCTAGAACAATGTCCAAATTTGAAAAAAAAACAATATTCGAAAGAACATCGTTTGCAAAAACGATTTGATCAAGCATCGAAAGGTTTTCACACGTCAGAAGTGGATTTGGAATCATTTGAGAACGCACGTATTTCGCTCATGCTGCAAATGCCTTTGTTGTTATTTATCTTCATTGCGTTGAATTTCGTTAACATTTGTTGAATTAAATAGCATTCGATCGCCATCGGTTTGGGGCATCTTCATTGGATGAAGTTTTTCCTTAAAATTGTTAACTTTCCTTTAGGTCTATATGCAATCATTGTTATGTATAATTATATACATGCACAGTAAATGTACAAAGCAATTTAAGCGACGATTAAAATCCTTAACATGGACTGTTGCACTTTTCGTTTACAGTTTTAAGTTTTAGCTCTATCTTTGAACGTGTCATTGTTTCTAGGAAGAAATTTTATTAAAACATTCACTTACAGCCCTTTCGCCCTTAGAGTAATGTTATGTAGATATCTCCTTGGAATTGCATTATAAAAATTCTTTCAATTTTCCTTAACTGTTTTGACAGTGATTTTTGTATACTTGCTTTTCAGGAATGTATTTGAGTGACAGTTCCTAAATGTCAAAAATGTTTTTCCTATGCGATAATTGATTTGATCATAATGCTCTTGACTCAGGCTAGGGCGAGTTTAAAAGCTATTTGCTTGTAACTCTGAAGTTCTTTTCAATTCGATTGCTGCCCATTTCGGAAACTGGAAAGTTAGCCAAAGTTGATAAACCGCTTAAATTAAGCACAAAAAACCGGGCATGTCATAGTTGGGATGAAACATCCTCCAAATCTGTATTGTAATATTCGAGGATTGCACCTGTGGCGTATCCCGAGTGGAGAGGGAGTAGATGGAGGGGCATGATACCGCCAGCGTTCTTGCTTGCATGGTGTCGGGATTCTGTCAGTAAGGAACAAATTTGAACAGTCTTTTTTTTTTCAAGAAAAAAGTCCCATCCCTGCCTGGACCTTAAAGGTAAGGCACTTGTCAGTCCTGGCTTCAGATCAGGGGAAAAAACGACAGTGTGTTGCTCTAAAACAGGATTCTAAACAGCGAGGATGAATCTAGCGCGTACATCCTAGGGATAGTCCTAGCTACTGTCGTATCCAGTCGTATGTACCCCTGTTTGGTTTTCGTGTTGTGGCATCGACATGACAAGGTATCGTATTGGAATTGTGTCATAAGTAATTCTGTGATGGACATAATATCAAGTCACCTCTGTTTTCCAAAGATTTTATACATTATCCACTGATTCAAATTTGTTTAGAAAATTGGATCTTCTTTGCGTGACATGCTCAAAGTGTAATTGTTTGGACAAGGAGACAGTCTCACAAGTGTTATTAGATATTTGCATCGTTAACAAACTCAAGGAGTAAGTTTCAGACGCAATAGCAGGCAAGATAGTTAGCAATAATTATTTACCACAGCTCTCCTGCCTATTTATCGCCAGACAAAAGTTCAAATCAAGCAGGCATTAGTGTTCCCCTAACAGCGTGGTAGTCAAGATTAAAAAAGCTTCCAGCGCATAGATTTTTTTTAGCTTGCTTTGAATGATATAACAAAAGATTGCTTGAAAGCACTCGTGGCATTCAACAATCTTCGTTCAGTTGCCCCCATTGTCCTGTCGAGGTCTCACAGGTGTACTTGGCACTGCCTTGTACCCACCAGTACTCTATCGCAATCACCGAACCGTACGATTCAATTTAGGATATTGAGAAATTATACCTCTCAAGAATTTCCACACAGAATTTAGGCAAGACTGTATTCAGAATCCAATATAGGTGCGGTTCCGGGGAGGGGGGATTGGGTATCAACCCCCCCCCATTCCTTGCCATTTTTGTCCTGAGCGCCCACGTCTAATTATTGTAACGCCCCCCCCAAAAAAAACCCCATAAACCCTGTAGTCAAAATAAATAGATTTAAAGGCTTCAACAACGGCGGAAAATACAACACCTCCAGCAAAAATATTCGAACCGCAGTGGAAATAAGCTATTTCTAGCTTTTTTGTGCTATCCTCGACAAAGCCCTGGATTTATATGTAGGCCTAGTTCTTTTTATTTTGTTTGATCATTTTGTAATCTTTCGGGTCTTGTCAAATAAAAAACAAACAAACCCCGAATAAAAAAAAACCTATGTCCGCCCCTACAAAGGCACGTTTGACAATAAATTATGTTTGGCCCTGAGTGTTATGAGAAATTCATCTTCTGAACTACATATCACCACGACAATTATGCTTGTTCACGCTCAACTAAGCTGTCAAAAACAGGCGTCCTTGAATAGCCAACAGTCAAAAGTGGGACAGCCTGAATACTTGTGTTTTTTTCTGCGCCAACGCACTTGCGTTTAAAATCTCTGAAAGAGGTGTGTGTCGAGGTGCATGGAGGACACACTATTCCACCTACTCTGCAGTACAAACTTATTTCTGTTTTACCCTGCAGAACGCCTTGGAAACGCCCGAAATTCAGAGTTTTAAATTGTTTCGCCTGCTTATTCTAAGGGATGGTCGAAAGGAAACCAACCCAATGTCTAACATGCACGAAGAAATGATACATGTAAACAGAGTTTATTTACAACTGAAGCGGTAGCCATGAAGCGTACAGGCAATTTCCAGTACATGTATAATGAATACAGGCCATCGAACTATGAGTATGGTTGCCCTCACCAGTGACTTGGACTAGTCGCAGTTTGTCTTTTCAAGGACCTTACAATAGGCTTTTTTTTGGGGGGGGGTGCGAATTTTCTTACCTCCATGGTGTATTGGAGTTCTCTTGGTTCGCAAAGATGAACGCGGGAATTCGAATGTGTTTGAAATTTTCAGCGAATCTTGCCATTCCAGGTTTCCCTCCAGATTGCCTCAAAATAGTTTCCAACCCTTTGTAAGTGTCAACGGGCACCAAACCATTTCAAAAATGTCGCCAACTTTCACCAACTGAAAACAACAACCCAACACATTTGAGAAGATTTTTAGAAGTTGGAATCATTCTGGTGCACGTTTCGAGACTATTTGCAAACCTTTGGAGAATTTCTGTGGGACGCCAGGAAAAGTAGATATTATTCAGACAAATGCTGCCCTCAGTTTTGCTGGGAGGTTTTATACTAGCTGGTTTGTGAACACGAAATATGATTCCAGCCCGTTACGCAATGGTTGCATGATGCTTGAGAGGCGCAGTGGTCTCCAAAGTTGCCTTTCCTTCGCGTGAGTTCGCCGAAGGCACCAAACCCTCTCAAAACCGTCACACACACACACGTCTTGAGAAAGTAGGACGACTGTCCTGCGACTTTCACCAAAATTGCCACACAAAATAGACCACTAGTGGACCAAAATCGCCATGAATTCCACACGACCGTCGTACGACATTCGCACGAACGTTGCAAAACAATCGCAGACAATTTTAAACAAGAAGTCGCGGCTTTTCCTCTAACGAAACCTAGTTTGCTACGCTCGCAAAAGTCGCCAACTCTAGTATGAGGCCACCTCACCATTTGTCTTGGACTTGAATAGTATCCAGTGAATGACTTCAGCTTTCATGAATGTACGTGTGCAACTCAACAACGTCCAGAAATGTGTTCCATTTTGTACCATACTACGTAAGACCTGTACAGAAGTTGTACACACCGCTGTGCTGGTGTCGTGGCCAGTCAAATAGCTATGTACCAGATATTTTAACTCATTCGCTCAGTTAAGACATCAAAGCGACAAACAAACACACGTTCATGTGAATGTCTTTGTGGTAACATACTTTTAGGAAAATGGAATTACGACTTGATCACTAACTGGTCGATTTTCGGGAGTCAAACTTGAACACTTGACCCTTAAAATCCCCTTTCTGGACGATCACACAAAAACTGAACGTTTGACGGTTTGACGGAACAAGTCTACTCTACTTTATGAACTTCCAAAATATTATCAAGTTCTTATAGGTATCGCTTTTCATCGCCCCAAAAGGGGTAATCCAGAACGGTTTATACCTTCAAAGATGCAAGTTGCATAAAATTGTTTGAATTGGTTTAATTTGCATAAATTTGGCTGAATAAGGAGCCCAACGAACAACAACCGCAGCATATGACCACAATTGGTTTTCATGAGGGTCCTGTTTCTGACAAACTGACAATTTCACCACTCTTTTGAAACGTGCAAAACTTATATCTAACAATAACTTTTAATATTTTCAGGCAGTCCGCTTTTGTCGGCCTAAGAACGATGAAGTTGCTGGTAACCTTGTGTGTTTTGGCCGGTAAGTGGTACAGTTCAGTTGGATGAAAATGATAAATTGGAGTTTTCCCTCAGTCTTGGAGCAATATGTATGTGTGGCATTATTGCTGCGTTGGTCCTTTCTTGGAAGATCTTTTTTACTGGCTTGTGCCAGGACTTTGTCAACAATGGTGAAATTTAATAATTGGTAGAATCTGGACGCCTGTAACATTAACATTTGTTTCTAAAAGGTAAAAATGTGAACTGGAGCTTGATTCCCTAGAAATTGCTTGCGGCAAGGGTCTTTATACTAATGCTGTCGAGAGTCACACATTTTTGCTTGTCTGTGGAAATGTGAGTGTGTGTGTCTAAAATGACTCTTTTAAGGTTTCATACGACAACCTTAATAAGAATAGTTGCTCCTTTTCTGTACTAAACAGTTTATACCCTGAAAAGCTGAGTATGGGAATTGGCCACAGGGGTGTGTTTTCCAGTCATTATCGGTCAGCAGCGGCGCTCGGAAATATATGATAACGTCAGCTCTTTAGTTCGTATTCCTGACCTTTAGTCTTTCTTACAGAATTATCCAGAGTGTGATATCGGTCTCAACTTATTTGTGTAATGAACAGACCTCGCATATTTTTCAATAAATCCACCTGCTGTCATGTGGGGTGATTGTGGAAAAGACTTTAATTTTCTGGCAAGGGGGTTGGGGAAATGACATTGTGTAATTCTTTCTGAAATCATTTTATAAGACATCACGGTAACTTCAAGCCTTTTCGATTTAAGGATCGAAAATTGAAAAAAAAAAAACCCGCTTCATAAAGCCGAGTTAAGCCCATTGGAGGTTAACATGCAAATACAAGGTCAACAAGCACCGTGACCCAGTGAAGAGCTGTATAGTGATTCATCATTATACTCAAGACACAGAATTCACAAAGGCTGTCAATCAACGACAAATCCAATGCAGTCTGCCCAACTTTTCAAGATAGGCGCGATATACTCTGTGTGACGAATCTTTTCACTCCGAAATGGCTGTGAATGAATTTAAAATATCAACAAAGAAAACCTACCCATCTCAATATGGATGTGCAGCGTCAATGACAAGCAGTGGTTGAATTTAGCATTCAACTGTTTGCCGTTCTTCTCGTTTTAATTACCTTCAGGATTTGGTACATTTACTGTCCAAGGCACGGACCCCTTATGTAACGAGCTCGGAGACATTACTAACCCGGATCCATGTGCAAACTGGTAAGTTGAAAACGTATTTCATGTGCGTTAGATGGTTTCACGCGAATTGATTTGCCATTAAATTTTTGCTCGATGGAATTTAAATCTTTGCTTTATAATTTGTTCTGAAATTTACTCGTTTCCTATTTCGACAAATCATCTCAGGGATAGAGGGTGCTCTCTTTCAGATTTGATTCACTGGAAAGTCTATACACAATTTTGACCAGACATTTGTTACCAAATATTGGATTTACTTTCATTCATTAGCAAACTGATTATACTTATTTTAAAAAGGAAAACCACTTCCCTGGTGGAAAGATGATGTTATTTAGAGCAAGATTCCTAGACTTTAGATAGAGTTCTCATTTTACCATACGGCAGATATAAATGTGCATTTAGTGTTATTACCTGTAGGTGACTAGATTTGACTTGGATATAATTATATTTGTATGGTTAGGCGTGGCTGAAGCATCATGCATTCCTTGGCATTTTCGTTATTTTTCTCAGCCAAGCTCAGTTGAATGACTTACAAATTCAGAGGGCTAGCTCCCTAGGACGGTGTATCTCCCAATATCAGAAGTAACCCTCCGCTTTAATACTTGTAGGTTCCAATCTGTACATCAATTTTCTACATTCCCTTAATAGCTGGTACTTGTGACATCACAGTGCCCGTAAAAATAAAATTTGTCGACACTCTTGTGCACCTGATCCGACTACTCATCACTGTTAACAAACGAGACTTTTACAGAGACATGCCCTTATTGCTTGAAACAGGGCCGAGCCACATGGGTGTAAATCCCAGGGGATGGGGGTATATATATCCCCCTACTTGTTTTGTTTTTTGGGGGGGCTATTAAATCATCCACCCCTCACTTGTTTGTGGGGGGAAAAATTTTAAGCGGATTTTGAAGAATTTTTCAGACTTTCAATAACTAAAGTGCGTTCAATAGCACGCAAACAAAGGAGAACAATTTAAAAAGCCATGTGTCATTCTGAATACATATTACAGATGTACATCATCTATATAAAGTCATGTTGTCAACACCACCTCCCTCGCTTTTCAAATATTTATGGCCGGGTAAGTCATCCCCAACATTTCCCTATCCTCCATCCTCTATCTCCCAATTTACGCCACTGCTGAAATATGTTACGGTATTGCCAGATAACGTCTCCCCCGTCATTGTGTGGGGTTGTGGACCCAAAGGAAGGACATAAAATGAAAAGGATTCAGGACAAGGATCAGTGTTGAGGGTGTTCTTACTTCGAATCCCAGGGGATTTTGACAGGTTCTTTCGTGTTGGAAAGATAATTTTGAAAGGTTATGATTATTTAATTTCTGGTAGTAAAACCACGGATTCCTCAACTGAGCGCCCTTGGCTCTGTAGATTGTAGAGAGGAGACGATGAGAAGCAGTTTACTGTTTTAGAGGTGGGTGGAGAACCCCAGAGGAATATTCTTGGTAAAACCCACTGAGTCAGGTAGGGACTGAAAACCCAATCCACATGTGGACCGAGCCGACAATCTAACCCGAGACGCAGAGGTGGAAAGGCGAGGGAAAGAACCACTACGCTAACCCGACTCCACACCATTGCATTGCATTCCATTCTATCTATTTACTGCCCAAATAATGCAGCCTTGGGTTTTATTTTATTTCAGGACAAAAGATCTCTCCCTTACGTTGATTTCAATCCTGCTCCGAACAGCGACATTTCTCTGTCAAAGCCTCCTTTGATGGTCGGATCGGTTGCTTTGGTACACACTGCTGCATTGCCTAAAGCTTTTGTCATCGTATTCAGTTAACTGATTTAAATGCCAGAATTATTTCTTAATGCCATTTAATACAGCACGTGCGTGATGAATCCGACCGATCCAAGCACTGGGCGATGGTTTTGTGTGCAGACGTGTCCAGGTGAGTCGTGGATGAGTTTGTAACGGACATGTCTCTCCTTAAATACCCCTCTATCATTTTGGTCTTATGTCTATAGCCTTCTCGCAGATCTTTAAATTTAGTAGAAATGAAACCACAGTTGGTTGCAATAACTAATGTAAAAGTTCTGGTTTTGTTCCCTTATCATTTGAAAGTTTGCCCCACGAGTGTGTTGTCAACGGTATGCCTTTTAAATTTCTGTACCTTGGGGCCCTCCTGCGAGCTTCATCCAGATGCCACCTGTAAGATATCTGACTGTAATGACTGCGATTCCTTTGCTTGGTACAAAGATGGGAACTTGGTCAACTGCAGTAAGAAACATCTTGATACTTTTTCAGCCAAACAATATAGTAATTAACATGCAGCAATAACGCCTGCAGTGCTTAAATATACATAAGCAACGAATGACCGACGAAACAACACACTTATTTTTTAGTAAAGAAAAAAAAAACACTTATGTAAGAATAAACCGAGATATACACAAACTGAGCGAACAACCAACAAACCGTGCATCAAACAGTGCTACTAATCAAGAAACTTGCATCTGTCATTCATCAAACACGAAACGATGGGTGATAAGGAAGTATGAATATACATCAAACTTCGAAGGAGCTTTGTAGAATAATCCTCACTGTATTGTGTACCGGTATCATTTTTTTCCATAGCGCATAAGCCAGGCATGTGTCCAGTACCTGAAGGACTTGGGCCTTGTGTGAATATGTGTGTCAAGGACATGGATTGCCCAGATAGTCAAAAATGTTGCAGTAATGGCTGTGGGAAAGTGTGCTCTCATCCTTTAAATGGTACGTCACGTCTTACTAGATTGAGCAAATTAAACGTTATGCGCAGCAGCCACCATGACCGTGGCCTAACACATGTATCCAGGACCGTCAACACTGATTTCTTGACACATACATTTTGTTTTTATTATTCGGTCCAACCGCAAATCATACAACCATAAACAAAGGCAGCACAGAAAATATATAAGATTATGGACGAAAATCCGAACAAGGGGCTCCAAGACAGGGGGCGGCAGGCGCTGATCAGAACTGGGGTGTGGGGTTCACACCGCAGTTGCTATTTGTTGTTGTCGGGTTTTTTTGGCTTTGTGGAAAGGTTTGAGGACCCACAAAGCATAACCCATGGGTCTTCCTGTTGTTTGATAGGATAAATCTTTAATTAAAGCCGTCACGGCCATGGGGATCCTATGGAGGTAGGCAGATTGTGACACCTGTCATTGTCTCGCTATCCTATTGTTCACACAGCCTGTGCTAGTAGCCCTTGTGCAAACGGTGGTGTTTGCTACACAGCAGCCAGCAATCCATCCGCGTATGTCTGCAGCTGTCAGGATGGGTTTACTGGCAATGACTGTGAAACAGGTATAAAAACCGTAAACGTGGCTTTTTGCTTTTGGATATAACAATTATCCTTCTGGAAGGGTGCTGACTGCTGTTAATTGCAATCTGTTCTATTCTTACGTTCTGGTGAAAAATCTTTGCCAAAAAAAACAATCATATTCCATAATTGATGTTATTATAATTGATATATTTACTAACAACGGGCATTGTGAAGAGAATAGATAAAAATATCGGAATTGCGTCGTTTGTATAGCTGATATACAAAAGTTACCAATGCCATAATACTAGAATACTTCAAAATTACTTGCGCTTGTTAAAGTGACTTTTACCCCGCAGGTTTAACTCCAAAGATGCCCAGCGTAAAAATGTTCATATTACAATATCTTATAACACCGTTCTTTGGACAGACTTGCGGATGCCTAGAGACCCATGCCCTGCCGACCAACCTTTCATGAACTGCACCTATGAAGACGTTTGCTCGTCATTATGCTCTGCTGCACCGAGTGCCCGCTGTTTGGTGGATCATTGTGGGGGATGTAGACCTGTGTACATTGGTCCTCTCGGTAACCATGTAAACTGTACCTCTGGACAAGGTGAGCATCTGCCAAAGTCTCATTCTTGAAACTGTTCAGTCTTGACATATTCATATGAGGACATAATGAGCAAAGCATGGATAACTTTATCAGGAGTATGTAAGGGCGGAAAGTCGTTTTCTAAAGTCATGTAATGATATACTTTCCCAATACGTTGTGACTGATTAAAGAATTATTTCCTTTTTAGTCGAGTCACATTGGGTTTTTTTAAATAAAGGAACAGGAAATATAGCATGTTTTTTGCATGGTGTTGTAATTATGCTTGATTTTAAATATGGCTGGATTTACTTGCATCACTACTCAAACGTGTAATTTAAATTGACAGAAAAATATTAACAATGTCACAGACCGAATAATGATGATATTGGCCAGCATTTATCATAATTATATATAATTTGATTCACTTGCTTCGATACTTATATAAGTAATTGAAATCGACCTAAAAACCCTGCGTCTAAGACCGAATAATGGTTGTACCGGTGATGATGGGACTTCACTGATTCGGTCATTTCGAACCTGAAATCAGTGCTTTTAGTACCGGTGTTGATGGGACTTCACCAATTCGGTCATTTTGAACCTGAAATCAATGCTTTTAGTACTGGTGATGATGGGACTTCACCGATGCAGTCATTTTGAACCTTAAATCAGTGCTTTTAGTAATAAGGTTGTTGGTTTGAAGTTTGTTTTATTAGGTTTTCAGTGTTAAGCTGAACATCTAATTCACTCAACATCTATTGAAATCGCTGATATCCGTTTGTTTGTACTGATTTTTTTGTTCCTGAAGTGTCGGATTGTCCTCCTGGTGTGGAAATGGTGAACTGTCTGGTCGACCCTTGCGATAACGCCCAATGTCCTGCTGATCCAATGGCTCGGTGTGTTAGCGTGTACTGTGGCAAGTGTAAGGCGGTCTTCGTCAACGACCAGGGCTATCATGTTAACTGTACGAGTGGTGAAGGTACGCGTAACACAGTAGCAGGTGCTTAGAATAACAAGTGGGGAAGAAGAAATCTATCAGTAACGTTTACGGTAGAACCTCCAATGAAAATAGAGTCAGCACATTGGTGTTTAATAATTTTGACTTTGAAATATCTAGCAATGGGTGAGGAAATGCTTCTATGAATAGTGTTTAAAAATTAATGTAATAAAAGTGGTAATTACAATACAAATACGGCCGAACCACGTGACTCCTGCCCAACAGGCGTATCTTCCTTAATTATTTTTCTTTCTACCTCTAAAGGATGACAGCCTCTAAGTAAAAGGACAATTATCCAGAGAAAACTTGAAGCGATTACCGACTTCGATCACTTTTTAAAATGAATTTTCAACTTCTTGCTGCCATTTGATTCTTATCCAGCGTCGGTCTGCCCGCCTGGCATGGTTGAAAATCCAGTAAATACACCTGAAGCATGCATGATGGCTACTTGCCCCGCCCACCCGCGAGCCCAGTGTCTTGCTAAGAAGTGTCTGTGGCCAAATGTTATCTCCATTGAGTGCCCGTATCAGTTTTTCGATGCTCGTGCACGGCCTGTGATGTGCGAGAGAGGTAACTATTGAAAAACAGAGGAACTCGATAATACATTCACCAAGAATTATAAGAGTATTAATTAACAACGAACCTGTAATTTGTTTGCAAAGCGAGTGGAATTAAATAAATTAACTCGGAATTTGCTGTCCAAAGTATGGGGAAAGCCTTTTTCGGGGCGAAAAATTGAAAGGACATGCTAAGAAATGTTTTAAGAATACTTGTATCAGACACATCAATAGTGCGCAGGAGTAAACGCTTTCTGAGACACAAGGGTACTTTTTTTCTCAGTGTCAAAGGAAATACAAGGTGAAGGATACCAAATAACCGAAAAATTTTACGAGATTCCAAAATAATAACAAATTCACTGTGTATTTTTGTGAAATTATCATTGTGTAATTGCTGATAGTATTTTAAAAGTGTGTAAGATTAGACACCTTCTAAAACACTGAATTAAGAGCCCATTATCAATTTCAAATATGATATTGTGCCGCTTAAACACAGTTCAGCCTTGATTATCTAAAATTGTGCAAAAATATGTAAGAAAGTTTAAAATTTAATTTATGTACAATTTGAAACCTCATCGAGGTTAATATATCTTAATACTGTGCAGCAGGTTTTCATTATATTTAGGTTTTTCGTGGTTTGCGTAATTTTTATTTTAAAATCGTACAGTGAAGCAGGGTCGGTGCCCTCGAGTCGAATTTTCGGAGGTGGTCGTGGGAATATGTCTGAATGAGTGTATGGACGATACAGACTGCGAAGGAAACAAAAAATGCTGCATGAACGCATGCGGAGGGAGAGTTTGCCGAGACCCCGAAATGGATATGGAAGGTAAATCTAACCCACCTAAGTCATCACTGCCTCAATCTCTTTGAACCTCTTTTTTTTAATAAAAAATGATGCGACGCAAATTCTCATGATTTCCCAAATACAAGATGTGGCTGAGCAGTACACGTGCGGAATTGGCATTGAAGGATTGGCGGCCGTTAAGGTTAAGGTCTCTCATTCCCAACTTTTATGCCCATTGTCATACATCCAGATTTGTCAGCAGGATAAACATGGCGGGTTAATGCACATGCCTCCTTGGTCCCGACCTGAGCCTTTTCTTTAGCCCCACCTTTTCTTGGGGTTCGGGGACTTCCAAAGGATACTAATTACTTTTCGGTTGAACCAGCCAGCCGACACCGGCAAGCTCGGTAGTTAAGACGTCTTCACAAGTGAGCAGGAGGTCGTGGGTTCGAGTCCCACCCGAGTACTCTTGTGGTTTCCCACAAGCCTTCGGGGGCATACACTTAGTATACTGTGTTATAATTTTGCCCCTCCTTTGGACTGTATCGGACGATGATATCATAACTTTTTCTTGGGCCTTGGGCCTACCTTGTTTTATCCTGCCTAACGCTGCTGATGTTCTTTCTTGATGAATTTGCACATTGTAGGCGGAAAGCCAGGAACGTGTCCAATGCCGCCGATGGACTCCTTTGGTATTTGCGTTGATTCTTGCATGAGTGATGATGACTGTGAAGGCAGAGCCAAGTGTTGTAGCAATGGGTGTGGCCACACTTGTGTGGACCCTGAAGGTAGCGTTCGTCCCTCAATCTTCCAAATCGTTTCAGATAATCTACCAAGAACCCACTAACGCTTGACCACACGTTCAAATAAACATGCATGTTAAGAAGAAAAACTCAGTGTCACACAATACAAGTGTGTCCAAATTCCCATTTTGCTGTTTCCGTGCAAGAGCAGATTAAAAGACTATTACCTAGGAATTCAGAAGAATTTTAAGAGCACGTGGTACTGAAGTTCATAACAAACTCCACAAATGTTTTAAATCACTCGAAAAACTTCATCAAAGCATGTAAGAGAGAGAAATCTCATATTGCAACCGTAAAATAAGTTGAAATATTGCAACTGAAACATTATTTGAATAAATTGAAGACAGATTAATCTGTCACCTGTACTTTTGTTTTGTTTAATAAAATGTTGTGAGCAGAGCAACCAGGTGAATGCCCTGCGCGGCCCGACCACATGATGCTACTTGCGTCTCCTCAGCATGCATGTAGCAACGACAGTGACTGCAGCGGGCATCGCAGCAAGTGTTGTGCTTACGGCTGTGGGCAGATCTGTGTGGAACCTGTGACAGGTATATTAGTGGATCATTGAGGTGCAGGTGGATGAAAGTAAGGGGCCTTGAAACCTGCAGTGGCTATAAAGAAATCCAACAGCCCACTCCTCGAAAATCCCTGTTCAAATTTTCAGAAATTTAACATTGGAAACTTTTCCAACTGTCTGCCTGTATTTTCTTGATAAATCATTTCCTATTTTTTAACTTCTTTTATTCCCTAAATTAAAGGGAAAGTATACAAAATATTACAAAGATAAAGAATAAGGTCATTTAAAATTAATCGTTTCAAATCCTTCTAAGACACCACTGTCAAAAATTGTCGTGATAAATTCGTTGGTCATTCATTTTATCAGTAGCCTAATTTAGGTAATCAAAAGACAACATTTATACTGTCTTTCAAGTCGGGCGGGTAGATATTAATTACGGACAAAAGTGGCCGTGTTGGTACGTTAAATCAGATCGGGTGGAATGATACCCCTCAGCCCAACGGGTTTTGCTTTTTCGAAAAACGCAACAGTTTTAGAATTACGGTACCGCCCTAGGAAGAACGCCATAGCCCTGGTAAAATCAGGGCTCATATGAATGGAATAAAATCTTTTCAAAATCTATTCTGTAATCGACTCAGAATGCAGCAGACACAATTAGAGATTCCAAGCTCACGCCTAAATATGAAACATTGACAACGGTGTGTCTTTCCACAGTTGTGAAGCCAGGCATGTGTCCCATGCCGGATCCAGATGCACCCGCTGGCATTTGTTCGGAGTTGTGTAGTGGAGATGTCAACTGCACTGGAAGCCAAAAGTGTTGCAGCAACGGTTGTGGACACACTTGTCAGGAACCTGCTTTCTGTATGTCTACAATTTAACCTCTCTCGGTGTTATTTTTGTAACTTTATTTATTTATCTTTTGGTTCAAATATGCACCATCAGCAAGTTGGGGGAAATTGTTCACAGGTAAAGCTCAATATCGAACTTTTTCGATGCAGTATTTCAGGTTGAATACTACCGTAACGGTAATCCAGTGGCTCCAACTAATCTGTTTTTATTGTCCCTTGTCATAGATAAAAAACCGGGCATGTGTCCCATGGTCCGGGAAGGCGTTTCGGGAATTTGTATGGAGATGTGCAGTGAAGATCGAAACTGTTCAGGCGTGCAGAAATGCTGTAGCAATGGTTGTGGACACACCTGTCAGGAACCTGTCTGTACGTTCAAATTGATTTCTTCTTGGCCTTCGGTAC